GGCAATGAATTCCAGAGCCTAGCCGTTCTATGGATGAAGGAGTCTTGATAAAGTGCTGTTCGACATCTTTCGAGGTTGACAACGAAAGGATGTGCTGAGTGTTGTTGGAATTTCTTAGCTACGTCTTCTTTCTTCAATGTAGAATATATAAAAGCGGCTAGTCACTAGAACGTATATGTAGTACTTTGAAATAATCTTATTCTGCTGTAATCCACGAAGAGCTCCATATTTTTCACACACCAGAATTTTCTTTTCTCATATTAACTGGAAAATCTTCTAGAATACTATCCAGTTGCTCAACATGTGAATTTCCGTGAATATTATAAGTATTCTCATCGCAAAATTCTTGAAACTGCTTCCAAATGCTTGTCTTTGGTGTTTTGTTATTTTCTGGGATCGAATGTTGAACTTCTTTTCTAATTACGGCCTGGTTTTCTCTCCCAATACTAGGACATTTTCATAAAAAACTAAGATATTATACCTTCTCTTCGAAGGATGACATACGTAAATAAAAAATAGTTATTTTTCTGTGACGGGAAAAAAGTTTGGCATTTCATCTCTGTTGGCAGGGTATAAAATGTCACTTTTCATAAATTACTTTTTTCCCGTGGGAAAAAAGTGAGTACTTCTTTCCCGGATATATATCACATATATAGGTACTCTGTTAATGGCTTTTGTTGTACTATAGTTCCGAAAAATGAGTCAATAATACCGTCTCCGAGAAAGAACTGCAAGTCCTTTTATCTTCCATTCGACTTCGCGGTTTCGTGTATATTACTAAACAACTACTGAATTCGCGATTTTTTAAAATCAAATCAGAGAATTGAACTGACAGAAGTGACATCAGATATTTGATTACTTCAAAAGAATGATAAAGATGTCTATAAAACGCAGGTGTCCCTACTGTTAAAAACTTGAAATTTCACGTCGATAATTTTCAGATTTCGAAATAATGTAATATCTTCTCAATATTGATTCGTCCTTCCTTCTGTCACAGAAAAAAATAGTGTATTATACACGGGAAAAATATCAGATTTTAGCTCACGGTTTTTTGTCTCCCTCCGCTACGCGTCGGGAGACAACACAACCTGGAGCTAAAATCTACTACTTTTTTCCCTTGTATAATAAATAACTATTTATAATAAAAGGGAAAAAAGTAGTAGATTTTAGTTCCAGGTTGTGTCCCTCCGCTACGCGTCGGGAGACAAAAAACTGTGAGCTAAAATCTAATATATTTCCCGTGTATAATGCACTATTTTTTTCTGTGACAGAAGAAAGGACGAATCAATATTGGGAAGATATTACATTATTTTGAAATCTGAAAATTATCGACGCGACATTTTAAGTTTTTAACAGCAGGGACACCTACGTTGTAGGCATCTTTATCATTCTTTTGAAGTAATCAAATATCTGATGTCACTTCTGTCAGTCTAATTCTGCGATTTGATTTCAAAAAATTGCGAATTTAGTGGTTGTTTAGTAATATAGGTAACCGTGAAGTCGAATGGAAGATAAGTTCATCCTCGGAGACGGAATTATCGACTCATTTTTCGTAACTATAGCACAACAAAAGCCATCAACGTTTAACGTGGTGATACCGATTTTTCTATGCGACGTTTCGTATTCGTAGAACCATCACCAACTTTTGTTTTTCAAATACGGTCCTGTTAATTCTTTCCCAGATTCTGAAACCTTTTTTTATTCTGAATTCAACCATGTATTATACAAGGTGGTTTGAATGTGTTTCGAACTATTTTTAGCCATCATCAATGTTTTTTTCGAAATTCCAAAGGAAAAATGCCATCAGTTTCACTTATTTCTGATTATTCAGTGTCAAACATTGATGGACTAGTTATTCAATACTGAAAAGTGAACAAAAAATCCACTAAATAATTCAATGCAGCGCTTCGAATTGTTAATGAATTGTATTCATATTTTAATCGGAAGGAGCTTGTCATAATTAAATTTTTCGAACTAATTATTCCTATAAGTCTATCAATCGGAACTAGTTGTTGAGGTATTTGTTTGTTGGCTAATTTTCCTTCAAAATAAGTGGAACTGGTGGCATTTTTCCTTTGGAATTTCGAAAGAAACATTGATGATGGCTAAAAATAGTTCAAAACACATTCAAACTAACTTGTATAATACATGGTTGAATTCAGAATAAAAAAAGCTTTCAGAATCTGTGAAAGAATTATCAGGGCCGTATTCAAAAAACAAAAGTTGATGATGGTTCTACGAATACGAAACGTCGCATAGAAAAATCGATATCACCACGTTGAACGTCATCAAAAGTTGCTATGGAAAAATATCTTCAGTTTTCCTGTATCTCTGATAATAACGGAGAAAACAAAATAAAATAGAGATTCCAAAAATTCACTTTTTTCGATATAACTGAAAAACTAAACAAAATTTTGAAAATTTTTGAAGGCTGTTGGTATGAGCCTCCGAATGCGCAACTTTTTCCCCATTTAACCGACTTCGTATCTCCTACCGTTTCCGAGATCCCCATGCTGTGCAACCTTATCTTGGACAGACTGTATATCTAGAAAAAAAGTACTCACTTCTTTCCCACGGAAAAAAAGTCATTTATGAAAAGTGACATTTTATAACCTGCCAACAGAGATGAAATGCCAAACTTTTTTCCCGTCACAGAAAAAAAAATATTATTCTTTCGAGTTAACATACAAAGCCTTCTATTCAAATGTCAAAACCATCAAAAATCGTCATTATCCAAGTAATTTTTTAATAATATTTTGGTGTGAAATTTTCTTACCGAATACCCCTTTAGCTTCAATTAATATCCTTGAATTTTTTCTCGAACACGAATATTTAGAAGATATTCGTGTTACCGAAAAGATTTCCGGAAATAATTGAAGCTCTCGCAGGGTTGGCATGAATTAATTCATATGAATTAAATCAGTGATTTAATTCGTGAATTAATTCCATTGACTTTTTTCGAAAAAGTCATGAATTCATTCAAATTTTTGAAAATGAGACAAATTGCACTATTACCTTTGATTTTAACTAGTTTATACTGAAAAATTCTATCGTATTTTGGCAAGACTTTATTTCAAGCATGACAGAAATTTTTACTAACAGATATAATATACAGTATCAAGTATCATCCATAAAGTCCATAACATATATGAGAACAGGTTTATTATCACAGCATCGAATTTTTTTCTCTCGGCGATCCATTATGCATATCCGATAACTTGAAAATCGATTTTGACACATGTCACGTGATCACTGGTATAGTGATAAATAAAAATAATACTATAAAGTGACGAAAAGTGGGGTTAGATAACAAAATATCCATAAACATTTCTTATTAAGTTGCTATTCCACATTCAGTTTGGAGCAATTTTTGAAGGAGAATTGGTAATAGCTATATTTTTGCGAATATTCTTCAAAGTTGTTACAATTCTCTTTTTTTTTTCTGACAGTAGTGATGTTCATGATGTACAAATTGAATAGAATTCAATTTCATGCTCACATATGGAGTTGCCAGCCATTATTTGAGAAAACTGAAAATAGCTATTTTTATTTTTTTCAAATAACTTCATCTTCCCATCTAACCCCACTTTTTGCCATCGTAATTTTTTGAATTTACCGCCATACCAGTGATCAAGTGACATATGTCAAAATCGACTTTTAAGTAGTCAGACATGCATAATAGATCCCCGAGAAAAAATGTTTCGATATTCTACTAATAAACTTTTCTCCATGTGTTATGAACTTTATGGATGATACTGGATCTATATGTATCTATTATTTCGTATTCTATCATCACTTTTAATTTTGTTTTGAAAAAATGACATGTTATATTATGATGTTATTCTACAAGATTTCTGAAGGGAATAAAAACATAGTTTTTTTTGTTTCTTTCTTTCTATTTCGCTTTGGGTAAATGAAATTTGTTTTTTTTTTTTCAAATGAATTAATTAAAAAAAGTCGGACTTAATTCAAAAAGTCGGACTTTGATGACTTTTTTATAAAAGTCATGACTTATTCCAACCCTGAGCTCTCGTGATATTATAAGTGATAATCTCCCAGTAAATCACAAGAAGTTGCGGACTAGTCTAGCTAGCTTGAGCCCCACCTCGTGAAAAATCTTCTAACGTTGCCAATTTTCGGCAAGTAGTGGGTGGACTCTATGTGAAGACGTGCTCTCAATAGGGTTGGTCCGTATAAAAGAAGATCGAGATGAACTTCGGATACAGTCTCATCATCTTCTGGAATAGACTTCGACAGACTAGGTGGGTGATACGGGGTGGTGCGATGTGCTGGGGCAGTCGCGAGTTTTCAGTATAGTGGAAAATATTTTGTGAGCAAGTGATGGAAAGTTTATTCTTCTAGGAAACATGAAATTGTTTTTCTGCCTATTTTCTACTGTGTACTAAGTTCATTTCCCGATTATTTATTGTTTTCGAGATTATACAAAAAATGAGACACATGTATAAAACTTGTGCATTACAATAAGCAGCAAAAATATTGCAATTTGATTCTAATTTCATCAAATATTATATCCACATCCCATCATTGTTATTTCCAAGAACCCTGTAGTGATGAAAAGAAAAAGAACACCCTGTGGTTATAGAAACCCGTGTTTGTTTGTTCCTGTTATATTCATTTCAAATTAAAAACTGATATTTTCTCCATTTTTTTCAAATGAACGTGTGGTAGATATGTTTGAAAAAAATTTTTTGCCAACATTTTCGAAATAACGTCAAACCTCAAATCTTAAGTCACTCACTGAAAAATATGGTTCAGTATCCTGTTTTCAATTGAAAATTGTTATTTTCAAAACGATCAATAATTCTGCTTGCTTCCACAAAATACTTGAAAAAATATACTGAAATATGATTTTTTCATTCCATATAAATGTTAGGATTTCAGTTTTCAATTGAGCATGAAAACATTTATATATATATATAGGTACTTATCTAACAGTTCTTGCACTGAATTAGTAATCGTTGAAAATATATTATGTTCCAGGAACTCATCAGGATGGATTGGATACACATAGGAATAGGTGAGCATATATTTTTCGAATCATATACCCATAATTTTTGAAAGTTAGATCCTTCTTTGTATAGCTCGGAATATACTGTTTTTAATATCGTCGACGAAACCGCAAAACTGATAAAAATTCGAAAATGGGATTCTAGCGGCATTCGGTCTATCATATTGGTGGGGATCCGTATGCAAAACCTCACAACTGGTAAAAAAATGTAAATATTTTGAAATCCATAAATACAAAACCCCGTATCTGAAAAACAAAATAAAAGGGGTAGTCAAAAACTGATATTTTGTGTTCAATTTCTTTCCACAGAGATCAATCTCTGCTAATTGGTGAGTGACATTTTATAGAACAGATATTTAAAACAGTTCATTCTCAACTTTAATTGGTATTTCAACACATGATGTGAGAATTTATCTCAAGTATTTGTTATCGGAAAGTCCAGAAAAATGAAGTTTTTGCGAATTACTTTTCTGAATAATTGTTGTTGCTTTCGCACAGAAGCAGATGTCAAAACCAAGTATCTTACGCTGACAAACGTAATTAATGACTTTTCAATGATCAATGTACAAACGTAAGGATAATAATAATCAGGTGGTTTGTTACTATTTTTTATTGAATCTGATCAGTTAACCCGAAATTATAAAGTTTTTAGTGTCTCCTGAAAATTTTGTTTTTTGCAGTTACTAGGTTTTGCGGTTTCGTCGACGATATATTCATCATTTCAAAAACTATTTTCTTTAACAGTATACACTAAAACTGTAGATAGGCTGTTTCATATTTTAATGCTGATGCTCAAGGGCGATAATCCTTCAAGAATAATTCTTCATATGAAACATGGGTATAGTCGCTTTATTCCTGTGTAAGTATTTCAAAGTATTTTCCCAATATCCCTAAAACCGTTTCGTTTTTGTTTTTCAGTTTCGGTAAATGCAAAATACACATATAAATATACATTTTTCCATAATGAAGGTTCTCTTACTACCAATCAGTGGCGTCTCTGTATAGGTTTTAGACTTTATCGATTGAAACGCCCTGTATCTTTCTTTACAGCAATATTTCATTGAGGCATATATTTGGTGCTATCGCCATTTTTTATTCCAAACAATCCGCCCTAGTCTATGTCCCAATAGTTATGACTCCCCCTGTATATTCTTGATGTGAGATGATATTATTATTGAAAGGGTTATGTGAAGCATCGGGGCACCAGAAAAGCAATCAGAGAACACACTCATTATTCCAGATTTTTTGGGATTTTCTCTCCTCGTTTCTAAAAATGTCAATATTATTTCAATATACGTGTAGTAAGGATAAATCAGATGATTTGCACCAGAATGTCACTGCGTTCAAAGAATTTTCCTATCAGAGAGCCTGATAGAAAAATTCACTAGCTTGTTTGTGTTTGGAGAAGAGAAATAACGGTAAGTATATATATAGAAGAAATATCAAATTTTCACTCAGCTTTGTGACGTTGGCAAAATGAGTTACAGGATGTTTTCATCAATTTATCTTGAATTTACCATTTTCATTTCCAGATTTCAGTAGTGAATACCATGTTCTATCTACATCAACTGAACAGGAAGCTATGCTATTGTCTCCGTTCAGAAGAATGCAAGCAGAGATTCCTTGATTTTTCTCTTCTGGTTGTTATCTCCTTTTCCAATGATTTTAATATTATTCCATATACTCTGCCATATGTTGTCCATCTTCAGTAAGGATATGTTCAGCTAGTTTCGATTTGTCGATGTGTCTTTTCTTCATATTGGACAACATATGACAGAGTGGAATAATATTAAAATATTCTGAACGGAGACAATAGCATAGCTTCCTGTTCAGTTGATATAGATAGAACATGGTATCAACTACTGAAATCTCAAAATGAAAATGGTGAATTCAAGATTAATTAATGAAAACATTCTGTAACTGATTTGATTGCTAACGTCACCAATTGTCACTGAGAACTGAGAAGTGTCAAGACGAATACGAATTTGCTATGGAAACGGGAGCAGATTCGTTCACGAAACGTCCAAATAAGCTAAGTCAAAATTTGATATTTTTTCTATATATTTTTATTTCTCTTCTCCAAACCTTTTCAATACAAATTGTCACTGACAAGCTAGTGAATTTTCCTTTTAGGCTCTCTGATAGGATAATTCTTTAAACGCAGTGATATTTTGGGGCAAATCATCTGATTTGTCCTTACTACACGTATATTGAAATAATATTCATATTTTTATTTTATAGAAACGAGGAGAAAATCTAAAATCTGGAATAATGAATGTACCAACTCCTCGATTAACCTACAGACAGTAGAGAACACTTTTTCACAGTTCCCGAAGTGGAAGTTGAATTTCTTTAGAATCATGGAATAACGAATGAAAAAATGATGATATGTGACGGAAATACATGATTTTCAGTTCAAAGTCATTTGAACTTGGGGCAACCATGACACCAGATGTTTCTATTGATTCATCTGACGATTTAATGCATGTATGAAAAATTCGAATTTTGTTGCTATTAGGTAATTCAACTCAAAAAACTGCCAGAAGAAATGACTTGTCCTACGGACACGTAATCATTTCAGATGTAGTTTTTTTCGTCAAATTGCCAGGCAACAAAATTCTTATTGATACATATCAAGTTCACTTCGACAATAAAAAAGCGTGTAAATATTTTGCATAAGGGCGACAACTACCCTTTCGGCCGGTGCTGCCTCTCAAGTTCCTAGCAATGATTTCTGGTGAAGTCGCCATTCAAGCAATGGAATGTTTTTTTTTCAATTCCCCTTATATCGAGTTCACATTCATTCATAAATACCATTATCGCCATTACAATAATAACAATGATTTTCTGATGATGTTAGCAATTTGTGCTAGTTCACATCAGGTAATAACATAATCTCTATAAGTATGCTCGTTCAGCTTATTGTGGCAATATTTATGTTTCGTTGAAGATTATATAACTTTTATCAGAGTGATCATCAGTGAAATTATTTCTGAATTTTTTTGCAATGATGGTCACAAGTTTGAGAATAAGAATATTTCCTATGTTGAATCAAATAAACGGATTACATTTACCTATACAGGGTATGTCACAACGAGCTTACACTATCTTTATATCGAGAATCAGTCGGGAGCAAGCTTATATCTTAGAATAAGCTCTCTTCATTTGAAATATTTTCGACAATGCAGTGTTGTCGCTTCTACTAGAAAATAGTAGCAAAACATTGATGTTTCAAATGAACATACCCTGTATTTTATCGCATTTTAGGATTTTATCGATGTATTACACTTGGGGTCTATCGAACAAGATTACAGAGATATAGGGTGTTCAAAATCAAGATTTTTCAACTCTAGGATTGTTTTGTGTCGAAACTATTCATTATCGATCAAAACGGCTCATATGTCCCAACTCAACTTTTGATTCACTATTCAATGATATTTAATAGGAACAGATACAAGGTTGGTTCAAGATTCAGAATTCTGATTACCCTGTATTTGTTCCGATTAAATATCAGTAAATAGTCAGTCAAAAGTTGAGATAGGAACATGTGAGCCGTTTTGTTTTGGCCGATAAAAAATAGTTTTACACAAACAAATCCTAAAGTTGAAAAATCTCGATTTTGAACACCGTATATCACTGTAATCATTTTCGATAGACCCCAAGTGTGATGTGTCGATGAAATCAACTCTTCAGGGAGAACCTGAAAATGCAATAAAATACAGGATGTTCTATTTTAAATAACAAAGTTGTTACTACTTTTTGATAGTATCGGCAACACTGCATTGCTGAAAATATTTTAAATGAGATGGTGTAAGCTCGTCGTGACTAAGAAGGCATTTCAAACGAGCTTATTTATTTCCGGGAATTGAATCCATTTTTTACCAAAAAATTTAAAAAATTCTTGTCTCCAGTCACCATAACACTTTCGACAATTGGTGAAATATCAATGGAACACAATCACACTGTGATTTTCCACAGAAACAAAATTGATGCAGCTCAAATCATTTGTCCACCCTAAATTCCCCACGTTGGGCGCCATGTTATAGTTTTTGTTTATAACTAATTTTTTGATTTGAGTATCTCACTTATGAAGTGATCTGAATTATATTTCATTTTCCTAAATTATTCTTACCTCTTGAAACATGTTGGAGAATGAAAAGGAATAAAAAGAATTCGAAAACAAATTTATTTGTTTTGGCTTACCCTTTTTGTACATCTTGTTTATCTCTCTCTCGGCACGAAGAGAGCAAAGCACGGAACAGCCCCGTGTCTCGAATATCTCAAAAATGTTTTCACTGTCACTGTCACTTCTGTCAAACGATGGCAAAGGACAATTTAAACATGGGAGTTTCACATTAATTTTATTTTGGGGTCAATGATTATCTATAACAATACATATCTACCATATTTTTAGTTAGCACACTTTCTAAAATTGAAAAAACAGTTTCAAATCAGTCCTATTCATCGACATAATTCGTAGCCATACATTTAGTACCAATCTGCAAATTGTTTCAGTACTATTCTGCATACCTGGTAACTTATTGGTGAGTATACCTACTGATTGTATTTTATTTTCTAAATTCTCTTTGAAAAAAATTGCATGCAGCTTTTTCACTAAATAACAGAAAGCATCAGAGATCGATGATAATTACATTAGTAAAATAGAAATTTATGTACCAATGACGAAACACTGTGTATTATAGTTATATCTGCGAATTAATAGCCGAGGCTAGCAATCAGGCGAGACAAAAGACAGTTTTTCGTCGAGGTTTTTTTTATCGCTTGAAGCGCACGAAAGGGAATCCCTATAATGTTCAAAGAACATCGTGCGTTCCTAGGGAGGATAGGGATAGGAGGTAGGTATTACATATTAATTTTTGTCGTCGACCTCAAACATTTATATCAACATCACGGTCCTATTCACACGTGAAATCTATCGGATTTCGGGAAAAATTAATTTGTAAACAGCATATGACAGTTGTTGTCAACTCACTCTTTATGCGGACCATTGTTGCCAGTTCGATTTTTATTTCATCAGCAAACCCCTTGTCAAAAATTCAGATCTATTTTATGCTATACGAATTTCAAAAACTTGTAATGAAATAAACCTATGACGTAAAAACATAATATACTTTTAGAAACCATATTTCCAACAAAATAGAAACGAACAAAACATACATTCTCATTGGAAAATAATCATATTCCTAATTCTCAATTGAAAAATTCAAATTTCACAAGATACAGTTACATAGGTACTTATATTATAAGATATGAGTACATGAAAAACAGGAACGCATAGTCAAAATGAACAACAAAAATACGAAACGGCGAATTAAAAAATTAAATGTAAGAAACAAACTGTTATAACAGAAGTATATAAAAATTTAATTTGATGTGAATTATATTTATGACTAAGAGTCAAAATATTTTCCAGTATAGGTTATGAAATGTTTCAGTAGATGAGTAGATCAATATGCAAATCAGGAAATCTACTGAAAATTCAGTAAAACTGGCAACCCTGCAGCGGACGAAAAGTGTTTACGGGCGAAAAGTTAGTGTCTGCAGATAAAAAGTTCATGCCTTCGGAAATAGTCGGCTTTTCGTTCGGAAATTAGCACGAAAAAAGTGATTTTTTGTTGAGGTCGACGAAAAACAGTTTTTTAAAGACTTACCTCGATTGCAATTGACATCTCTCACTTTCGAACTCAATAAATTTCAATTCAATGTCAATGAAGGCACAACAAGGATACAACTATCCTGCTCCAGATCGACCATTCGCAGGAAAGCCAGGGCAACAAGGTTCTCAAGCAGAAAGGCCCACAACAAACCAATTCTCTCAAGGATCACAAGGTAAAAACATGAATTTTCTCTCTAAACTTCCTCGCTGTTGACTCCCCCTGTACAATTTTCTCGATTTCAGGACCCACAAATGGATATCAACCAGGTTTCCCGTCAACCAACAGACCTACCACTGGAACCCAACAAAATGGCTACCCCAGCATAACACCAGTCTCAACTAGACCCCAAGGTATTAGAGCTCTGATCGATGGATCAGGTAGGTAGTCAATCTCAATAACTTTGTTTTCATTAGGTCCCCAGTCGCCAATGCAAAATGGCTACCAAAACGGTGGACGTCCGGCATCAAATCCCTCAGGGCTATATGGAACACCAGCTATTTCTCAACCCAGACCAGGACAATCGGGAGGCCTTCAAGGCTATCCTGGAACATCCACTAGACCAGAACCCCCACAGAGTGGATACCCTGGACCTGGATTCCCTGCTAGACCAGTCCAAGGCAAGTTTCCAGGACAACAACAAGGCGCCCAAGGGTATCCAGGTCCGTCATTTCAAACTGAACAACCAGAACGACCTCAAGGCTACCCCGGACCTTCAGCTAAGCCACAAAGTTATCCAGGTCCTTCCACTGAACAAGGTTTCTCAGGACAAACGAGTGGTCCCCAAGGGTATCCTGGACCTTCCAACAGACCAGGGTCTCCTCAAGGTGGATACCCAGGACCCTCAACAAGACCTGGATCTTCTGCTGGACCTGCCCAAGGTACATATCCAGGACAACCACAAGGCCCATCAGGTTATCCATCTCAACCAGGAAAGCCGGGAGGTTATCAAGGCTACCCTGGACCGTCCGGTAGACCAGAGTCTTCTCAGGGTGGGCCATCGCGTCAACCAGGCTCAATTCAAGGTGAATATCCGGAACAACCAGGGTCTCTTGGACAAAGTGGTTTTCCAAGCACAGGAGGTTTTCCACAACAAGTACCAAATGGTCAAGATACGTCGGACGGGCAATATGAAGAAGGGGACTACTCAGCAATTCCTGGAGAACCAGACAAGGATTATCCCATTTTCTCGTATATCCCCGAGACATCGTTCTCTTGTGACCAACAACAGTATCCAGGCTACTACTCTGACGTCGAAACGAGATGCCAAGTATTCCATATATGCGCCAACAACAAAACGTACGACTTTTTGTGTCCCAATGGAACCGTTTTTCACCAAGAACACTTGGTGTGCGTCTGGTGGAATCAATTTGACTGCAATTCAGCACCTTCCCTGTACGGAATAAATGCGAATATTTACGATCGCTCCATAACTGGCAGCCAGCAAGGTTTGGGTTTCCAAGGACAAACAGGTGGTTACCCTCAACGTGGTCCTGCTGGACCTGGTGGAAGTGTGACAGATCAAGGGTCAAGTGGGGGGTATCCCGGCGATAACAGACCACAAGGTTCCGGATTTCCGGGTCAAAATGGACAGGAACAAACACCAACTGAATCCCAGAGACCTGGATACACCAATGGGTATCCAAGTACACAACCACAAGGTTCTGGTTACCCATCGACCCCTGGATATCAGAGCACACCGAGACAACCGACTCAAAGCACTGGTGGATATCCTCAACAACCAGGATATCCATCTGGAGGTTCATCACAACAAACTAACGAATATCCTGGTGGAAGACCTCAATTTCCATCGAATGGAAATGGTTTCCAGCGGCCTGGTGGATACTCTGGTGAGGAAGGTAGACCTCAGGGCCCCAATGAGAATGAGAGACCAGGTTATGCGACTACAATTCAGCCATCTTCAGAGGGATACCCGAGTGGTAAACCTGCCACTCCTTTTCCTGGAACCTCTACTAGGCCACAACAACCAACCAGAGAGTATTTACCTCCGTTTTGAATGAATGTTCACTGTACCTACTCTTAGATATAAGTAAACCGGGTTTATTTAATTTTTGTACATTTTCCACTGAGAAGAATAAATAATTTATCGAACTCAAACATGTTTTGAATGTAAGTCTCCATTTGAATCTTATATAAACTTCTGATCGTGGAACAAAGCTTTGAAGATGGTATCGATTGCTACCATGTAGGCAGCAGTTCTGATGTCAGTTCCTAAATTGTGTGAGTTTGTTATTTCAAGCATTTCCTGGAATGAATTGGAAAATTAAGAAGGAAAATTAGACAAACTCGTGGTATCTTACACTGCCAGCAGTATGTAATATTTTCTCGATGGTATTTGACACAATCTTTTCGTCAACTATTGTCGTATCAAAATGATTTTCATGAGATGGTGAGATGAGTGCTAGTTTTTGTTGGAAGTCTGCCATTTGTTTCAATGCATCACCATAAATATCACTAGAAAACCTTGAAAACATGGCTTTGTGAAAAATTGTAGAACACGAATATACAGGGTGTCCCATAAGTCATGGATCAATATAAGTGGCCGGGGGTGGTAAAGGTGGTGTCATTGCCAATCAAACTACTGAACTTTTTTTCATTTCTATATAAAGAATTGATTTCAATGAAACTATGTTACATTTGTGATTTTTTCTTTAACAAATTTCATCCACATGGATGCACCTTTCCCCATAAATAATTTTATCAATTACCTGCCAAAAATTTTGTTTTACTTGAATTTTGTCATCGAATGAAATATTTGGGGTTATTCAGAACAGCCTTTTTGTTATTAATTTTCTTAGAATGGGTCCCATTTTTCAGAAAAATTGAATAACTTTTGAGCCATCAAATATACCGTTAGTTTGATTACAAATAATCCCCCCTACCACCCCACTTCTTTTGATTCATTACTTATGGGACACCCTGTATAACATAAATATAAAAGAAGGTGAGAATGAACAATTTCTGAGCATAAAGTATTTTGAGAGTTGAATTTCGAAAAAAACTTGTTATTGTGTAAAATATTACACAGAGTGTTTCAAAATTCACTATCAACAATTCAGAGGTTCATTTTTCATATCAAAATAAGTTCTTTTATGAACATTTTCCTTCTTTTCTCTGTAGCTTTTCGATATATTCAGATCAAATCTGAAATATAGAAATCGTTTCATGGTTAACATCAAACAGTATGCTGAATGATTGTAAATATCTACCTACAGGGAGATATTTTTTTGAGGGGTCAAGCCCATTTTCACTCCATAAACTTTTCTGTGATGCACCACTGGTAGATTTTGAAATACGGAATGAGTTTTTTTTATGAACTTTACTGTCTCCTATAATTTTTACTCATCTGCAACAGTTATCGTAAAAAAAAATTTATTGATTAAATTTTTTAACAAAAGGGAGGAACCTAATATCACAATGAAAACAAAATCAGTTTGTGATCACAAGTTTTCAAATATTACCGAAAGAATAAGGAACAACGAACCTTGACTTCTTATAAAGATGCAGGAACCTAAAAAAAAAATCGGTAGATACGAAGCGTTTGCGTATACATATTTATAGGCGAAAAACGCCTTATTTCGACCTAAAAAATGAGTTCCTGAAATCTTGATAGTGAAATTTGGAACACCCTGTATAGATAATATACAAAGACATTTCATAAAATTCTGTGGAGTACTTTTACTATAGGTACTGAGAAATTTTGAAATTGAGTTCAAGTGAGGAAGAAGGAATTCTTTGAATTGCGATGGAACATAATTCACAAACTTTGAATGAAATTCATCCGAGTACAAATAATACAGGAGAAACTGAAAAATTCAGATTCCCAAGTAAGTAAACCGAGTGCAACTGATGAGGCTTTGTGGTATCACTATTCATGCCTACATAATTTTTGATAATTCGTATTTTGGGCGTATTTTTCGAATCCAGAATTATGGTCCCAGTACGTTACCTCAAAACATCCATATTGGTACTACCAGCATGCTGCAAATTCCAAATATACTCCAGATAGGAGGCAATGGTTGATCCTGAGCACGAATAAATGTCCGGTACGACCAACTTCGACTTTGAGGTCAAAATTTTGTGCGCCGAAGGCGTTATAGGTCCATCTGACGCCTCCAAAATCAATTTGGCCTTGACATCTCTGGCGATATGGCAAACCAGACTCTTCTGGCGGGCTGCCAATATCAAAATATCGCATTCTTCTTTGTAGATATTGTCATCGGTGAGTTCTTTGCACAAACCGAAGTTTTTTATGGAACCTGTGTGGTTTTTATGTTCTAGAAGTTTCTAAAAAAGGTGACAGAAGATCAAGAAAGTATTTTGTCTAAACGGGGTATCCCGAAATCAGCGAAGGAATAATGGATAATACATGAACGTAGGTCAACAAATGGCACATACATTTTTTTTTATGTAAATTAATACTGAGATACTTTTGAGATTGGAGTTTGAGGACTGTGTTTCATTGAAAAAAAAAATACAATGAAAACTCCAGCAAAATTGGATTTTCGATATATTACAGGGTCATTCAACTAACTTATTCATTGGTTGTTTATAGAAAACCAGAAGAAATGTTGGCCATTGGGTACAGCGGCGCGCATTGCGTGATATGATCTGTTTTTTTTTATATCTTCAATTAGCTGTCCCTTCTGGTTTTTTTAATGGAACACCCTGTATATCATTGCATTTTTAGATTTTCCCGAAAGAGCTGATTTGATCGATATATCACACTTGGGCTCTAGCCGAGTAGCCGGGAATGATTACAGATATACAAGGTGTTCAAAATGGAGATTTTTCAGCTTTTGAATTTTTTTGTGCCGATACTATATTCATTATTGATCAAAACGGCTTACATCTCAGCTTTTGATTTACTATCTACTGAAATTTAACTGAAACAGATACAGGGTGATCAGAATTCTGAATCTTGAACCGCTCTGTATTTGTTGAAACTAAATGTCAGTAAGTAGTAATTCGTAAGTTGAGATAGAGGCATGCAAGTCGTTTTGACCAATAATGAATAGTTTCGAAACAAAAAAATCCTAAAGTTGAAAAATTTCGATTTTAAACACCCTCTATATCATTCTAATCATTTCCGCTAGACTCCAAGTGTGGTGCATTGATGAAATCAACTCTCCAGGGAGAATCTGAGAATGCAATAAATATAGGGTGTTCCATACAAAAAAACGAAGTTAATGTCACCTAATTGAAAATATTTCAAAAAAATAGATCACATCGCGCAATGGCTGTACACAAAATTTCAGATTGATATCTCTTTTGTTTCTCTATAAACATTTAATGAATAAGTTTTAGGAGAATGACCCTGTATATGCGACGATTTTAAATTCTCGAAAAACTCCCGAGAGGACCCTTTTCGTAACATTTATAATTTTTCGATTCCAGGTCTACGAGGAATTGTTTTTTATCTCCTGGAGCGCAGGAGACGAAATTCCTATAATGTTCGTGAACAGAACAAAATCTGATAAAGTGTTCAAACGATGTGAAAATTAAAACATGTTCCTCATTATTGTAAATGACTTTTTCGGCCTATAGTGGAAGAGAAATTCAAGGGCATAAAGCATATTAGTTTTCTGCTAGGCGATTTTGGCTTTGGCGATGCTATAGCGATAAAACGTGTGATACCATAATTGGTCAATGGCAGCTAACCAATTCGAATTAACCAATAATATCATATTCACGTTTCATCGCTAGCATAACCATCAAAGCCAAAATCGCCTAGCAGAAAACCAAGCTCAAGAAGCATAGTTTTCTGCTAGACGATTCGGGCTTTGGTGATACTATAGCGATGAACAGGTAATTGGTCAATGGCAGCTAACCAATTCGAATTAACCAATAATATCATATTCACGTTTCATCGCTAGCATAACCAAAGCCAAAATCGCCTAGCAGAAAACCAAGCTCAAGAAGCATAGTTTTCTGCTAGACGATTCTGGCTTTTGGTGATGCTATAGCAATGAACCGTGTGATGCTATCATTGGTCAATGGCAGCTAACCAATTCGAATTAATCTATAATATCATATTCACGTTTCAGTGCTAGCATCACCAAAGTCAAAATCGCCAAGCAGAAAACCAGGCTTAAGGGAGTGTACCTAATACCTCCAAGTCTATTCCTCTTGCGTCATAAATGTATGCATCATGATCTTTAACACCAACACATATGGAACCATTCTTAATTAATAGCCTGGCTAGAGGTTTCCCCAATTTTCCTAGTCCCTTCAAATAAAAAGAGATTAATTGACGATATTACACGAAAACCTTTCAATCTTACCTGGATTATGAAAGTTTTTCCTTTCAGTCCTACGGCAAGACCACATTTTTTCATGAGATCCTCATTTCCCAGACAGAATTGCAGAGCTATGTAAGCGCCCTGAGAAGACATGCTATCATAATTTTCCAGACCGCCATAATCTGGAGGTTTTCCCCCTGCTGCTACATAAATTGAACCTAGATTTTCGGTAATGACCCGATATTAGATACACCTATATACACGGAATAAAAGGAATTGTTCAATCAAGCAAAATTTAATTGGATGAAGCAAATATAAGTGTCATATATGCACGACAAAATATAATCTTGAAAAGAGTAAATCTATATCTTGTTTCAGAGCGAATTTGAAGTTCGAATCGAGTAAATATGTCATGCATGAGCTCTGGATCTTATTCAATCAAGCACATCCATGAGTTGTTAATGAAGAGATACCGAGTCTGCTCAAATAATCATTTTGTTTGATTCAAAATAACAAGATATTCATCCAATCAAATATTCAGTTGATTCAGTGAAATATTTGGTTGATTCAAAGATATATTCGGTTGATTCAATGATTTATTTGGTTAATATAATTAAGTATTTGGTTGATTCAATGAGATATTTTGTCGATCGAATGAAATATTGCGTTCCAGAGAAAATGTATTTCCATTCGACAAATTGTTTTGTTGTACCAAATTCAGTATTGATTCGGGAATTTTCTGAAATTTCACATCAATAGAATGAACTATACTAGGAAACTACTGAAACTAGTCGACTTCTAGCATATAGACCTCTAGTTTCAACTTCTCTTCAGCTGATTCAAAACTATTCCGAATTGCTAATAAGCATCCTAGGTTCGATTTATTCGACTGATTTTTCTAACACGAAGAATCAGTCTTCACGTATATAATGAATTCGAAGCAAGCATAGACGAGGCGAAATGATCACCATCTAGGGGCGAAAGATTAACTTGATGTAGAATGAACTGAATATTTCATTGATATTACATCTTTCGTTGCTCTATTTGGTTAGTTAAATCAGCATCGACATTATATTGGATCGACATAATTTGTTTGTCAGATAACTATATACATATATTTCGTTGATGGAATCGATATTATACTGTTGATTCAATAAGACAAGCTGCTTCCATGAAATAATCATGTATCTGTTTGATTCAACAAAAAATTGCTCAGTCTAACAAAAATAATTCAAGCATTAATAATTTGTTGATGCAACAAATCCTTTTCTCCCGTGTTTTTCAAAAATTCATTCATTCATTTGAAAACCTTGATTCGACTAAAAAATGACGGTCCCTTTCAGTATTGTTTCATGACAATTTTTATACCAGTAATTAATTTTTTCTCAACTGGACCAATTTTTCTGTGTGAAAATCAACGTGAAGAATGGATTGGATGGAAAAATTGATTTTTTGAGGTATTTTCAATCCTTTTTCCGAGTTGCTCCTCTCCCGACGTATGTATGTAATTCAATGTTTATTAAGTAATAAAGTCATTATTTTTTTCTCATATAACCTATTTTTCGATGTGAAAATCGAGGTGGATAATCTATGGGTTTGCAAATTTGATTTTTTCCCCAGTTGCTCTTCTCCAGAGGTATGTAAAACCTATATTTCGCCCAAAGGAGCCTGAGCAGACAGCCAAGCCGCACTAAAAGCCCTTAAAGCATTTGTTTTTACCTCAAATATTACATGGGACTGCTTTGAAACACTCATGCAACTGGGAAAGGACAATAAAGTCACACTAATATGGTTTCCAGAGCAGCATGAAGGAATCAAATAAGGAAATGAGGCAGCTGATCGCCTTGCAAAGAAAGGTGCAGCATCTGCACTCTTTGGTCCTGAGCCTTTTTGTGGGATAAGCAAATGTCACCTAAAGGGAGAACTCAGGAAATGGCAAGGAATTGAAAAGTCCTACTAGAGAGCAACTCCAGGTCAACGACAAGCGAAAAGGTTCATCAACCATTCGCGGAACCGAGCCAAAGAGCTACTGCATGAGCCTCAGCAAACCAGAGCTTATCACAGGCTTTCTCACAGGACACTGCCCTCTGAGGTACCACCTCAAGAAGATGGGTCTGGCGGAGACTGACGCTTGCCGCTTTGGCAACAATGCGACCGAAACCGCGGAACACAAACTTTGCTCATGTAAAGTATTAGTCCGCCAAAGGCTGAACCACCTAGAACAGGTCTATCTCACCCCTGCTGAGGTGGAAAATTCAACCCTCAGGAAAATTGTAAGCTCCATCAGAAGTCTAGGGTTAGAGGACCAAAACAGGATAAGGGTAATCACAATAGATCTTCTAGGTCGCAGTGATCGAGAGGTCTCCCAGCCTATACGACCCATCTACAATCTACAACCTATACAGGGTGAGTCATGGCTAACCAACCATAGCCTAATGACAGTTAGAGGAAGTCAAAGTGAGTTGTAATATATTGTAAAAACTATATTCTGAGTATTCCTAACATGAATACAGGGCATTATTTGAACTCGGGGCGAAACTTTGATAAACGATATTTCAGGTAACGTCTTGATGTTATCGTCTGGAATTCATCAGCAATTTATACCTCCACTGAAACACCAGACAAAAGGCTACTATGAAAAACAAAATCCAGAGCCGGACTCGGAAAACTCATTTTTCTTTTAAATGTCAAAATTTCGACTTTCTGAATAGTATTTTTCAAAAACTTTCATCAGAATCAGAAAGATCCGAAAGAACACTGCATGTGTAGCTCATCAGTTCGTACAGCACAATACGACCAAATTGGTGAAAAAATATCGAACAAAATACTGATGAACGATTCCATGATTTAGTCATGGCTATTGTAGTCACATCGTTCGACAATTTCACTTAAACCCATTTCTTGCATATTGCATATTGGTGTATTATAATGAGTTGAAAGAGGCTCTCGATGAAAAAATCCAGAACAGGACTTACTTCTCTAGAAGAGACCTTTCAAAACATGAGAAGTTCCTAATAAAGAAAAAAATCCAATGCCTACCTATCTCTCGCTATATACCTATCCTTTCTAGGTGCGAACGATGTTCTTCGAACATTATAGGAATTTTCTTTCATGTACTCCAAGAGATAAGCAAATATGGAAAATTGTTGCTAGGGTAAAATATTCATTCCGAATCAGATATACGTGTCAACTTACACAAATTAAAAATTTTGAGGTAATATTGAATATGATCTAATTGCATGTGAACTCTTTCAATCAGCGAATCGAATTGTGGGTTTGGTATGTTTTCATTATTCAGAAAACACTACAAAAAAGGCAGAGTGATGCAAGGATGTATGAAAATTGATTGAATTAGGTATTATCTCTTAACAGGGTGGGACACATCCACATTACTCAAAACAAGTGAGAAAATACCTAGACATACAATTCTCTAATCGCTAGATAGGTCGTGGCGGCCCTCATTCTTGGCCCCCTAGGTTCCAAAATCTCACAGTATTCGAGTATTATCAATGGAGACATATGAAACAGACTGAAGTCAACACCAGAAATAACTGAGAGAGGATTGTCACAGCTTCATAAGAGATCTTTCGAAGATATACAGAAAATGTATTGAAACTGAAGGATATTCAAAAAATCTTCGTTGAAAAATATTAGGATACAGAAATTTTTTTTCGAAAATTATGTTTCATCATTCCTTCGAAAAACCATGCCCGGTCCTGATTTTTTGTAATGATACCTTTCCTCAACTCTGCTGCTATATCAATATGCAAAAAAACTGATTCGAATACTTTTAGTTGGATGTAGAGAGTAATGACCCGAACGAAATCGAAGAAATATTCATCTGAATTTTGTTTGATATTTTTTCACCAATCTGGTCGGAGTGTGCCGTACAAATTTGAAAGCTACACTCGTAGTGTTTTTCCTGATCTTTCGGATTCTGATGGAAGTTTTTGGAAAATACGATTCAAAAAAATTCACAGGCACTTGTATTTTTAGACGATCTATTCATTTCTTGATTCAAAAATAAGGTAACTCGAATCGAAAGGGGTGAATGAGGGTTGCATACAGCTTGGAGGGGGTGGATTTTAGGACACATGTTTATAGGAAAAAAAAGTTTTTGACCCCAGGAATATGTCATTAAAGTATTTGTATTGAATTATGTAACACCCTGTATATTATTTGTATGAAATGTATCAATGAAGAAGAGAATGTAATGCAATAACTGAAATAAATAAATAAATAAATAAATAAATAAATAGTAGGTCATCGTGTGGGGTGTAGAGGTAAATCGATGGTGAAGTTCAAGCGAAAACATCGAGAATTTCCTGAAATATCGTTCATCAAAGGATCGCCCTGATTTCAAATAATGTCCTGCATTTTTGTTAGGAATAGGCAGAATATATTTTTTCATAAATTTATCAACTCACCTTGATTCCCTCTATCCGCAATTTTGCTATGACTGCTTAGTCATGGAGTCCCCCTGTATTTCTGTGTGAAAGTCAAGGTAAAGAGTTGATTGGTTTTTGAAAATTTGATTCTTTAAGGTATTTACCAATCATTATTTCCAAATTGTTCCTTTCTTGAGGTACAGTCGTATCAAAAAAAAGCGTACAAGTATATTGGAGGGAGAAATTAACGTCATCCTATTTGCGTAAAACGGGCTATCGGGAATGAATGTTTACCAAATGTTGACAGTAGAGTAATCATAGGTTCTCAAAAACACGAAGCATTGGCTGAGCCAGTTTTACACAACGAGAACTAGAATGTCGAAATCTTCTATGTAAGGCAATGCTTATACAGTCATTATTTTTGTCTCATCCTAATCTATTTCTCAGTGTGAAAATCAAGTTGATTGGTTTGAAATTTTGATTTTTTGGGAAATTTTGAAGTTTTTTCCAAACTGCGATGAAACATTTTCCAATTCTAAATTCCTACTGACCAGTAGATTTTGCGAATGTGTTCGATATCCAGGACATTTCACGCGAAGAAGTATTGATATCGGGTTGGACCACATCTCTCTCAGAACCTAGGAATGATAAAAAACGATGAATTTTCAATAATCACTCGATCATATTCCGTACAATATCCTTTTTCTACTAATTCGGAAGCATACCGTTCTACGATATTCCGCAATTCATCAACAGAATAGTTTTGTGGGCGAATTTTCAGACCTCCATGGGCTCCAGCCATATTCACACCTACACATGCATTTTTGTAAGTCGATAGCACGGATAACGCCTTCATATCATCCCTAGTGATATTTTCATGGATTCTGAAACCTGAGAATTGATGTTTGGCATTTTTCAAGATGTAATAACTTTTGTGGAAATGCAAATCATATTTCTCAAATCTTCAAGTCAATATCCCGAAATAGTTTGGAATTTTCAACTTTTCCTGTTTGTTTCCACATTCCTCTGGATTTGATGAAATTTCAGGCAATATTTAAACTTTGTGCATACTGCACTATAATACGATCGAAATCATTCCTGGAGCAGATATCCGCCTGGCTTCGAGAGCAGCTGAAATTAGTGAAATTTCGACAATTTAAAATATATATTCTGATGTTTGTCTTATTATGTATTGCTACCATTAGTATCTTATACCTAATAAGCTTTATTCTACTATTTTTTTCACTATTTCATATCAATTGCAACATTTTTTCTCTCTTTTTTATATATCTGACCTGTAAAAGTACTTTAGTGTAATACTTTGCCAATACATAAATAAACTAAACATATGCTAGTGAAATTAAAATTCTTCAGATGGATTGCTCCAGTCAAATATAATTTCTGAACCAATCATCAATTTTTTTCCTGATTTTCATTGGGAATAATTTATTCAATAATAGATATTTATACACTATAAGGTAGTGAAGGATATCATTATTACCCAGGGACCCAGATAAAATCCAGAGGCTTCATATGATATTCTTTTCAACAAGGGTATGTTACATTTTTTCCATCACTAGCAATATATTTCATTATAGTTCTGTCTGAAATATACAACTATGTCAGTATGAAAACGCATCTTTTCAATTTTAATTAACATCGAGTACCCATGACCATGACAGCATATGACAAGCCGTTATTGATGAATACCTACCTACTAGATTCGAGTGATTCCTGCGAAAGTCGCATCAGAACAGTGAATTCGGGTTAATTATAAAAAAGGTGGCTACCTATGTCTTATTGAATAGCGGTGCATAAATTTTCAGGATTTCATCATCAGATGATTTTTTACTACCAAACTCATAATCATTCCAAATAACTCTAAACCTGATGGAGTTATATGGAATGGTATAAAAACATGGGAAACGGGCATTAATTCTTCACCTTTTTTTTCAAAATTCGAGTTTCAGTCGATAGCATCGATAATCATCCTACCAATAGGATTGAAAGAGATTAAATGATGAAATTTATTGATAATACGCTTTGAAATCGGTGAAATTCGTTCCAAATAGCCCCGTTCTACGGTATATGCCTTTCGAATGTCGACGAATGCAGCATGAACTTTGTTGACCTTGTGACGCATCTGGATCTGAATTACCGAACTCAAAATGAAGACATTATCTATGCAGCTTCCCCAGCTTCTGCCCTGTCTGAATCCGGATTGGCAGTCCGGGATTATATTTCGTTCTTCACACCAATTGGTTAATCTGAATAGTAAAATGTTCGTGAATAATTTGGCTATATAGGCAGTTAAGAAGTGCTATCCCATTGTAATTTGTTGGGTCATCATTTGGACCTCTTTTGTAATAATACACAACTGCAGTACATCCCTATGAGAAAGGTTGGAAATACCGAACCAATTCGAGGTTACTGACTTGAGGATTTGGGAAAGATAATTTATAGAGAACTATATAAATAATGAAAGAATAACGCCAAGAATGGTAGATGACAACTTGACGAATGGCAAAAATTCGAACCCAATTCAAAGAAATTTGAAGGTTTTGATGAATAGACCATCATGAGCTTACCTCCCAAACAAGCTCTAAAACCACTAGCTAACCCATGATTGGCTCGGAAGCCCCTGATCATCTCGTACTTCCCATTGTCCCTTTTCACCGGAAATCTAATATCAATCACAGAATTACACTGATCCAGAATATTGACCATCCCTTCGGTTTTACTAAAAATTTCATCCTTGTTCAATTTGGGCCGGATCGACCTCATCTTCTCTTCTATAGTTGGGAATATCACTTCATAAGCTCTGTGCAGGAACCAGTTGGTACTGTCGAAAAATGCTGCGTTGGCTAAATAAAAGGAATTTTTGTATCTCTCTGGAATTTCGTACTGTCCCGGCGATAAGGGTAGAGGTGGAATAATATTTTTGATCTTTATACTAGAAGATCCGACATTGGAATTTGCGATGAAAGCCATCTGAATAATTTTATTTCTGACTGACTGTCAAATTCATGATGTTTTCCAAAACTGGGTGATACTTCAACAATTGACTTATACGCTGGGTACGGGACTGGAAATTCTAGATCATCAGTAGATGTCTATAATAATTGTTTAAATAAACCGTGAAAATTTCATGGAAATAGGTGATGAGTGGACTATTTTTTTTTTATTTTCCAAAATAGATTCGTCACTCAAATACCTTTCAATTTCATATTTTTAAAACTTTTCGGTCGTCGATTTTTAGGTGCTAAAATCATCAATCATGTGTCACGATAGTCGATAATTTTAAAACGGATAGAAATTTACTGCGAGTAAAAACTGACGTCACGATTTCGTAAGTAGGGGCAGACCATAGCATAGTTTGCCATGCGTTGAAATATGATTAGGAACTTCAGAAATATTAGTTATTCAAACATTCATAAATTCTCAATTATGTATTGGTAATATTCCTTTATTTTAGCAATACTAAAAGAATTGTCTAAAAATGTGCCTTATGATTTGTGGCTTATTGCTTATAATAAATTTGTGTAAATTGTAATTATATTAGTTCAAAATAAAGGAAATTTTAAGCGGTGAACGTGACAACACCGCGTGCACGACTTGTGGGCGTGGTCTTGTCCCTTCTCAGCATTCAGCACAATGTTGCCAAGTCTCCAACATTTACATGATATTTTGTTATGGACATGCTGGTTGCTCGAAAAAGTCAAGAATGAACTAAACTGCTCAACACATGAAACGTAAAATCGCATTTTTTCGATCGAATTTGAATCATTATAACTCTCGATTTCTTCAACCAATTCTCAATTTTCTGACCAATAATGATCAAGCATAAAAGTTGACGTCACCATTCATTCGACGTATCGCCAAATGGTGACCCTGACGGTACGTTATTCAATTTATATTTATGCTAAATAAATACTCTCATTGACAAAGTTCATATATGGTGAAGTGAATAAATATTGAATAAACACAGTCAATTTGTTAAATTACGTGACACAAAATAGGATAAAAACAAGAAAAATATATAACATCGAGCAGATATAAAAATATATGATATGCACAGTCACATTGTAAGTATAAAACAGAATTTTACGATTTGAATAAAACATTATGCAGTCCATTGTCAACATTTCTATCTGCGAAGAATTCGTCCACGGAGTAATATGCTTTTGATAACAGCTTTTTCACAATTTTTTCAATTTTTTTTATTTGTAATACATTTAATCTCATTTGGCAGATGATTAAATATTTTCTTACCATTGTAAATGAAGGAACTTTTTACTTTTGAAGATACTGGAATTGGTAAACGTATGTTCAGTGTGTTTCTTGTATTGATTTGAGACATAGCGAAAATTTCATTCGTATATTTTTTTTGCATCAAACATACCATCTCTAAAATAAAAATGCAAGGCAATGTCAAAATATTGTACTTTACGAATAACGGTCTGCAAGAATCCCTAAATTAAGTCTTACACATATATCTAACATCTCTTTTTTGTAAAACAAACACCATATCAAATAAATATTGGCAGCATGTTCCCCAAAAACAGATACCATATCGTAGGTGAGAATCTATTAGTGCAAAATACACACTTTTGGCAGCATCTGTTCCTAGTTCATTTGCTGATACTCTCACGGCAAAGCAGCCTGACGAAACTTTCTTACAAATGCTATTTACATGTTCAGTGAATTGCAGGCTGTTTTCAATATGTAAGCCTAAAAATTTTGTTGAAATGTTATTGTTGATCAACTCATTACCCAAGAGGATTTCCAGCCTGCAACCCTTATTAAAGGTAATGAGACTAGTTTTTGAAATATTGAATGATAAAAGGTTAGCATCGCACCAGACTTTTATCTTCATAATGTCCTGATTGATCGATTCCTGCAATTTTAATGCATTCTTGTTATGCCAAAATAAAGTAGTATCATCTGCAAATTGTGTTATATTTGCAGCCAATGTGGGCGAGATCATTGATATATAGCAAGAATAAAATTGGTCCAAGGACTCATTCTTGTGGAACCCCACTAATTACGCTCTGGGGATGTGAAATATTGCCATTGAGTGTTACTTTTTAATTCGTTCTAATAAGTAGGACTTAAACCATTTCAAAGATATATCTCTAAAGCCATATATTTATAATTTTTGCAGCAGAATTCCATGGTCAATGCAGTCGAAGGCTTCTTTCGAGAGATCACAGGAGACTGCTTCAGCCATTTTTCGATCATTTAGGCGTAAATAAACATTTTTTGAGCTTTGAAACCCAAATTGACTCTGACTGATAATATTGAATTTACTCAAAAACAACATCATTCTCTTTTTCACAAGTTTTTCTATTATTTTAGCTAGAGTCGGTAGTATAGAAATAGGCCTGAAGCTGGCAGGATTGTTAGTAACACCACTTTTATGTAATGAAATAACAATCGCCGTTTTTAGACAGGGCGGGAATATCCCCGTTATAAAACACATATTTATAGCATCTGCCAGAGCACTGAGAACGGAATTAGGAAGATTTATAAACAATTTTATGGTCATGTCATCCCAACCAGAAGAATTAAAAATTTTTATTTCTTGAAAATGCTGGTACAGGCTGTGCTTCTCCCTGTCTCCTTGTTCCGCTTCACTGACCACCACTATAAATACCGATCCACCACCCACACAACCTCAGTCTAGTTCGAGACCTTAGAGAGAACCAGTGACGAGATCTAAGGAGTAGACAGATTGAGACCCTATATTTTCCTATCATATTTTGATTTTTATTTTTCAGTTCATGCAAATAGCCCCAAAATTGGTGCCGAAACGTCGAACATCTACATATACTAGACGCGTTTCAACATTAACTCCTAGTTTTTTAATTTCTGACCGTGGAAATCTCGTGACCTTGAAAAAAAAATTATCGGCATTAATTCTACTGCTAGGGACATATTAAGTGAATAAAGAAACGCGATACCTGAGGAATTTATATTTTTTATTTCCACCTATTCATAAAAATGAGCGGTTGATGAAATAAACCATATTCCGATAATAAATTCGAAATGGTTCCTAATGCGGAAAATATAAATGAATATGGAGGAAATGAATAATTATTATTGCTTTCCAGATAGATCTAGAATTTATTAAAAATTCGAAAAAGTAGCATGGAAATAAATATGGGTTAACTGACATTTACATGTATTTTCTGGCAATAAAATGTTTTTATTGTCTGAAATTTTGGTCGCCCTGTATCTCCTAAACAAAACGGATCTTCAGAAATGTTAAAACGATAAGATTATCTAAATATATCCATGATGAATACAAAATCTTTAAAATCACAGTACACAATGCAAGCTTCATAATATATTATAATGAAAAAAGTTGTAACTTAGAAGGTGAGTCCAGCTTCAGAGTAGGTGTTGAAAATCTTAGTAACAGAGTTGATATAAGCCGAGCTTCTCAAATCTAGGCCCAAGTTGTATTTTTCTGATGTACTCATGATGGCCTACAAAAAATATGATATACTGTGCAGTAATACGACGCTTCTAAACAAGACAGAACACTTGAAAAAAAAACTTACCGATTTTTGGGTACGTTAGAATGGAACTAGATTTATGGAGGAATCAGTGATCCAAAGATTTAGAGTCGTTTTTGACCATACATGCCAATCAGTCAAACACGTTCGAAGTTTTTTCTTCTGAAGATTTTATTCAGTACAATGTACAATATGAAGTAATAAATACATTTTTGCCACAGATTTGGCCCTTTTATCTTACTTCTTAAATGGAGAAATAAAATGCATAATATCATAATAATTGTAGTTGCGGTAAAATAAATAATACATTTTGTATGAAAAACCGGTCTCTGATAAAATTTTTATGGAATAAACGGAGGTAGATTTTTTTTCATTTTTTAATATCAATATCCAAATCCTGCATCATTAATAGTGAGGAATATTTTCTGAACAGAATTGATATAGGCCGCAATTCTCAAATCCAATCCTAAGTTATATTTTTCAGCGGTATCCTTAATAGCCTGCAAGGAAAATAGTGTTTGTTTATGTCATCAGTTCAATCAAAATGTTCCTGCATCGATAGCCAACAGTATGAGAGGACAGTTTTCATAAAAGTCATCAAATAATTTAATCACATTAATATGAAAAGTAACTTCTCGATATCTAAAATAGGATATAAGTACCTCTAATTCATCACCCTGTAGTTGGAATTTTTGAAAATTCTAGAATGTAACTGATTGCTCCCGATTAAAAGTCAAGTCAATTTGAGGGTTAGTTTTCTGGAGGTATATCTTCAAAGTTTCAAGTTTTCAAGGAATGAAAAAAAATCAATAAATAATGCTGTTTCATTCAAAAACTAATGTTCATTATTATAGAATTAAAGACATATCCCGATAAACATCAAAAATATGAACATTTTGATCAACTGTTTTCTGAAACATGTTTTAAACATTATACAGTGTGTCCCACTTACCATGCTCACCATGGGTATCTTTTTAACGGTGAGAGATACGAGGTCGGTTAAATAACACCAAATGTGGAGTTTGTCAAGGCCAACAATAATGTGAAAAAATATATTGATAGAATCTAGTCGTTTTTGTTTTATACGCAAAAAACAGATTTTGATCATTTTCATGTCTCCTCCGTAACTTCTTTATTTATGAAAATATTCAAATAGGAATTTCACATTCTCATGGCAGTTTCTCAAAGTGATTTCGAAAAAAATATGAAATTTATACCAACTCTTCTAGAATTTGAGATATCAGCACCAACTTTAGTTTTTCAAATATAGGTCATAGCTCACTATGACTTAGTTACAAATAACTTTTTTTTCTCTTTCAGATGATATGTCGCTGTAATAGTTTTGTGTTGATAACAACGGAGTTATCGTTATTTATACGAAAACAAAAAATTATTTGGAAGCCGTCATCTTGAATTTATAAATTTCAACAAACAAATCATGATCTCCGACCTCAAAAACCCCCACTTACCAATTTTGAATGGAATCGGACCAGATCTTGTCCGCCATCTTGGAGCAGCCATTTTTTTCAATTTCAACAAAAATTCCATAACTTCGATTAACTTGAAATTTGGCAGGTGTTCATGATTTCGGTGACGATACATTATGGAATTTTTGTTGAAATTAAAAAAAATGGCTGCTCCAAGATGGTGGACAAGATTTGGTCCGATTCCATTCAAAATTGGTAAAAGGAAGTTTTTGAGGTCGGAGATCATGATTTTTTTGTTAAAATTTATAAATTCAAGATGGCGGCTCCCAAATATTTTTTTGTTTTTGTATAAATGACGATAACTCCGTTGTTATCAACACAAAACTATTACTGCGACATATCATCTGTAAGAGAAAAAAAAGTTATTTGTAACTAAGTCATAGTGAGCTATGATCTACATTTGAAAAACTAAAGTTGGTGCTGATATCTCAAATTCTAGAAGAGTTGGTATAAATTTCATATTTTTTTCGAAATCACTTTGAAAAACTGCCATGAGAATGTGAAATTCCTATTTGAATATTTTCATAAATAAAGAAGTTACGGAGGAGACATGAAAATGATCAAAATCTGTTTTTTGCGTATGAAACAAAAACGAATAGATTTTAACAAAATATTTGTTCACATTATAGTTGGTCTTGACAAACTCCACATTTGGCGTCATTTAACCGACCTCGTATCTCTCACCGTTAAAAAGATACCCATGGTGAGCATGGTAAGTGGGACACACTGTATATGATGAAAAAAATGATAGAGAGGTTTTCATCCCGAGAAGAATAAAAAAAATAATGAAAATTAAAATACTCTACTGTCATCATACTTGTTTTATGCAGAGAACTGAATACTCAAAGTTGTGTTTTTACTCAATTTGAGTATTGAAACCATTTTCAAAATGAAGTGCTAGAAACCGATTTTGGATAAAAATTAATCACTGGTCTGTTTGTGACCTTCATCACAAAATCTTAGTGCAAAAAACGCAGCTGATAGGTATATTGTGAGCTTGAAATATTTGTTTTTGTGTTCCTATAAGCGGTAGAAGCAGATATTTTTGCGTACAAACTTTATACCAAAAGATATATGAAACATAAAAAAATGTCCTAGAGACAAATTTATCCAAGATTTTTGGTCATCTCAATTTCGTTTGAGAAAACAGAAGAGTTGCTTTTTGTTGACTGCATTGGACGGACCTCTTTCTAAAAATTCCAATCGGTTTTTCCCAGGATACTATTGGACTGGAGGAAGCTAATATAATTTCACAAAAATATGTCTTCTATAACTACCTTCAACGAAATCGAAACCGATGTTGTCAAGAAGTAGGAGTTGGGAAAGGATAGACGTCCCCCACCACTCCACTCCAGTCCGTAACAACGTGCCTTGATGGTTGACCAATCAGAGGCCGCCATTCTGTCGAAGGCCCCGCCCAGTTTGAGAATAGTGGGGCACTCACTAGTTTTTGGACAAAAGTAGAAAGGCGGAGTGGTTTATTCTCTTCCAATTCCTAATTCTCGAGATATCAATGAAACAACGATTATTTTTCCAACAGACGGAATATTTTTAGAGTTTATTAAGTTTTTATTTTGATGATGATTGAAGTTTAGCAAATAATAGTTTAAACACATGAAGGGGTGCTTTTTCAGTGATTTTATGAGGAAGAAATCATATAAATAATGAAATAAAGGTAAGAAATAATGTTTAGAAATAGAACATTTCCTACTGACAAACTTTTTGAAGATGCAAGAGATATCGACAAGTCTCAATTATACTTAAGATCTGTTGTGAGATATATATTTCACAAAAAAAAATGAATGTACTGAGAGTTAATCATGTTATTACAACTAGATGAGTAACAAATGGAAATATAATTGTTTCTACTACATCTTATGTAACTATTCAGCGAAGTATATTTTATTTTGCGCCGCAAATTTATAACATACTGCCAAACGAACTCAAAGGCGAATCATACAAAAAAAGCGATAATAATATATCATTGAATTGAATATTTAAAAGCAAGCCCAATGTCTAGCTATGCTTCCGACATATATTGCATAATTATCTTGTATATATTCGGATTCTATATATAAAGTATATAAGACGATTCATTAACAAATTCACTCATTGGTGAATTTTCTGTTGTAAATGTGGTTTAATAATGACTGGTGCACACACAAGCTATTAAAGCTCATTTTGTACCTAAAAATGTATGTAAACTGTATGGCTATATATATATTTTTTTATCTAGCCAAAGCGTTTGATACAGTTAGTCATGAACTGCTTTTAGAAAAAATGGAAAATATTGGATTTCATGGAGTTAGTTACAATTTGATAAAAAATTATTTGACAGAAAGAATTTATCATGTAGAAATTAACAATATTTATAGTAATTCTGAATCTTCTGAGTATGGTGGTCCGCAAGGAAGTGTTTTAGGGCTACTTTTTTTAAAATTTAAAAAAATGATTTATTTCAAGTAAATTCGATTTGTGATATACATTCTTTTGCAGATGATAATGTTATATTATACTCTGCAAAGGATTGGATAGAATTGAAAAGGAAAGTGGTCATGGATTTTCCAATTCTCAAAAAGTGGTTTGATAATAATTCATTGGCAATTAATTTTGAAAGAATCAAATTCAATTTAATTTTTATTATGTCAACATTTTGAATAAACTTTATTATTATTCAAAATTTTCAAGAATGTGTGTCAAACTGGCTGAATAAGCACTTTACTACTTCAAATAACACTGCCAAAGTTCAACAAATATGGAGAATGAATTTGACACACTGTATCTTGAACATAATGCAATTTTTGGACCAATGTTTATATCGTTTTTTGTCAGAATAATTTGAAAAATCACCTCTTTAAGTTTGGCAACAATCTAAATCGACACCCGATGTGAAGAAACTATTTTTTGCGTATTTTTCACAACATATTTTCTGTTATACAGAGTAATGTCCCATAACTAGCAATAATATATCAGTTAATTTTTCAAACAATAATATAGATATTGATCAAGTGGAAATAAAATCTGCGATTTCTAATTTTTTTTATGTTTCATATAAGTTTTGATATGCCATACCAATGTACCATTTCATATTGAAACAAGGTGATTAGAAGCAAGATATGTGCATCTTTGGATCACTGAAATTACAGGAATCGCCACAACAACTTTCGTATACACACGGAGGCGATAATTAGTTTTGTAAAACGGTCACAAGGCCAAACCAAAACCATGCAAAACTGACGACAAATAGTTGAAACTCACAATATTAGTAGATTTGACATGTATTTGTCATATTATTCATTTCAAAAAGCACGTGAAACTCACCTTGGCAGATCGTTCCATCGTGAAACTGAGACCGGAATGGACGATATCTTTTTCAGAAGCACCTGCCACCCTCTTTTGGAAAGCCACCGAAGGGATTATGGGAATCTTCCCTGCATCAGTGAATTTCCTTTCCAAAGATTCCTGAACGGATTCTGTTGAAGAAAAAGTAATTATTGCCTATACTTTTTCCGTCCGGGTGATTTTGACTTTATTGTAGAGTTTCATTTGGAACGATTCACCCCCATAAATATGAAGTTGATTGAAGTGATCGAAGAATTACCGAAGGTCATGTTTTTTCGGAAACAGATTGAAATTTTTCTCGATTACCTACTTCCTTCCTGCTGCCTTGCCCTCTCGTTTCTTCCATGATTTTTTTACCTCTCTACCCTCCTAGCTCTACTGTCTCAATTCACTCAACTCTATCAACTCTCTCAAATCCCTCAACTCTCTACCCCTCACCTTTCTCACACTTTCATCTTATCTCCCCCTTTTCTCTCTACCCCTCCCCCCCTTATATCTCCCTTCCCTCCCTACTCTCCCTCCTCTGTCGTAACCTCCTCTGACTCATCTTCCTCCTCTCTCTACTCTCCCTCCTCTGACTCATATTTCTCTTCTCTCTACTCTTCTACGTCTGACTCATATTTCCCTTTACTCTACTCGCCCTTCTCTGACTCATCTTTGACTCATATTTTTCCCCTACCAACTCTCCTTCCTCTGACTGATATTCTTCTACTCTCTACTCTTCCTCCACTGTCTCATCTTTCTCGTCTCTCTACTCTCCCTCCTCTGACTTATCTCCCTCTACTCTTCTACGTCTGACTCATATTTCCCTCTACTCTACTCTTCCTCCTCTGACTCATCTTTCTCCTTTCTCTACTCTCCCTCATCTGACTCATTTTTCTCTTCTCTCTACTCTTCTACGTCTGACTTATATGTCCCTTTACTCTACTCGCCCTCCTCTCACTCATCTTTAGCACTCTCTCAACTCTGCCTCCTCTAACTGATATTTCTCCTCTCCCTGCTCTCCCTCCTCTGACATATTTCTCCTATCTCTACTCTTCCTCCTCTGACACATCTTTCTCTTCTCTCTACTCTTCTGCGTCTGACTATTTCCCTTCACTCTACTCGCCCTTCTCTGACTGATCTTTGACTCATCTTTATCCCCCTCTCAACTCTCCCTCTTCTGACTGATATTTCTCCTCTCTCTACTCTGCCTCCTCTGACTCATCTTCCTCTACTCTTCTACGTCAGAATCATATTTCCCTTCACTCGCCCTCCTCTGACTCATCCTTATCCCCCTCTCCACTCTCCCCCTTCTGACTGACATTTCTCCTCTCTCTACTCTTCCTCCTTGACTCATCTTTCTCCTCTCTCTACTCTCCCATATCTGACTCATATTTCTCTTCTCTCTACTTTTCTACGTCTGACTCATATTTCCCTCTACTCTACTTTTCCTCCTCTGACTCATATTTCCATTTCTCCATTGTCCCTACCCTGGCCCATATTTCCGTTTCTCTATTCTTCCTCCTATAACTCATCTTTCTACTCTTTCTCCTCCAACTTCTTGATCTTATATCATTTCTCTACCATCTCTCTCTCTCTCGCTATATCTATCTCTCGCTATATCCATCTCTCGCTATATCCATCTCTCGCTATGTCTATGTCTCGCTATATCTATCTCTAGCTATATTCATCTCTCGCTATATCTATGTCTCGCTATATCTATCTCTCGCTATATTCATCTCTCGCTATATCTATATCTCGCTATATCTATATCTCGCTATATCTATTTCTCGCTACATCTATCTCTCGCTATATATATATATATATATCTATCGCTATATCTATCTCTCGCTATATCTATCTCTATATCACTCACTGTATCTATTTCTCGCTATATCTATCTATCTCTATATCACTCGCTATATCTATCTATCTCTATATCTCTCCCTCTATCTCTCTCTCTATCTCTCTCCCTCTCTATCCATATCTCTATTTCCTCTCTATCTCTATTTTTTCTCCATCTCTATTTCCTCTCTATCTCTATTTTCTCTCAATCTCTATTTTCTATCTATCTCTATTTCCTCTCTCCTCTCTTTCCCTCCAATAAGAAGAAATTTTTCATCAAGAGAATTTCATCAGAAGGAACCTCTCCAGAGAATTTTGAAGGAAATGTTTTCCAGATGTGGATTTTTTTCAAAGGTTATTTTCCAAAAATGTGTTTTACCGGAGAAAAATTTTTCAACACTAAGTATTCCCGGAATTATTTTTCTCGAAATTATAAATTATACGGAAAATTCGCATTTTATTATGTTTTATGATTCCCTGATAAAGAAAAATCGGTAAATACAAGTCCGTAATTTTCTGAACGTTATTCCGAATTTGAATCATCGAAAAATGAAACACACCCAAGGATTTTATTATGACACTCCCTGTATATATCCATAATTACTTACGCAACAAATGGTAATTGGAATCCCTCTCGTATTTGAAGGTCAATCTGCCGTACGACACGTGATTGATATTCTTCAACCATTCGAAGAAGGAGACTGTCACACCACCAGCATTCACGTAGAGATCGGGGATCACCAGCACGTTCTTTTGGATCAGAATCTGATCGGCGGCGGGAGTTAGCGGTCCGTTGGCAGCCTCGGCGATAATCTAGAAAGAGAGAACAATCATCAAGTACGAAAATCAATGAAGTGCCAAAATCAATGAAGTGCAAATATCAATGAAGTGCAAATATCAATGAAGTGCAAATATCAATGAAGTGCGGTAATCGATAAAGTTCGAGAATACGTAAAGAACGAAAACAGATGACGTACAGAAATCGATGAAGTGCTAAAAGCAATGAAGTGTATAATCAATGACGTACAAAAATCAATAAAGTGAGAGAATCGATGAAGCTCGAGAATTAATGAAGTGCGGGGTGGGGTTCGATGAAGTTCCATATCAAATGGAGTGTTATACCAACAAATTGCAAAATCCAATAGAAGTCCAGTTTTGAAGTGTAGAATTCAATGAAGCCCAGAAGTTCCAATTGGAATTCAATATAGCTATGAAAAAATCAATGAAGCGCCAAATTCAATGGAGTATGAGATCAATAGATTCAAAATGTAATGAGATAATGCGATAATGCGAGATACAATGAAGTGTCTTTCTGAGAGAATACAAAAAAATCGAATTGTAAACTTTGACAAAGTATGTAATCGCGAAGGGAGGTCAAACTCCTAGGTAATGCGAAATTCGATGAAGTGTAAGTTTCGACTTCATTCGGAATTCCATAAAGTGCTGAATCCAATGAAGATTGATATTTATTCAAATGTAAAATAGTTATAACCAGATGGAATCCGGAATGTAATGAAGTGCCAATGAAATTTGAAATCAGATGTAGTTCAAATTCCAATGAACTGCAAAATCGAATGAATCAAATTAAGTGCAAAATGCAATGAAGTGCCAAATTATATTCGAATCGGAATTCAAAAAAATGCAATCTTCTTCATTCATTCATGTGCTAAATCCAATAAAGATTGATATTCGATAAAATACAATCAGAGTGATAAGTCTGATATAGTCCAAAATGCAATGAAGTGCTAATGACATGTGAAAACACCAATGAAGTGAGCAATTTAATGAAGTGTGTGAACCATGGATTGCAAGCTATACAATAAAGTGCCAAATCCGACTGTGAAATTCAATGAAGTACAAAATTCATTGTGCAGCTAATTTCACAGAAGTGTGTAACATTCTATTCAATCCTAGTGCGGAAATCAATGGGGTACAAAATTCAATGAAGTGCGAAATCTGATGAAATGTAAAAACAAAATTCAATAAACTGCGACAAACAATGAAGCGTTGTATAATAGTCGTATACCTTTGCTTGAACTCGGTCAGCATTGTCTTTGGTGATGACCTTTTCTGTAGCAGCGGGCACCAAAATGTCGCATTTGTGGAAAAGGAGATTCCCATCGTAGGCCTTGGCTCCTGGGAATCCCACAATCGTACCATTTGAAACACGGTAATCTTCGAGATCCTATGAAAAAATACAAAAAAGAAATATTATCGAAAGTGAGATATGTGTGAAAAACAAATATGATTTCTGTTTCAACATACCATATCTATTTCATTCATTCATCATGAAATTATTGCATATACATCTATATTTCTGAAATGTTGACAAGTAAATATAGATAAGAGATGGAAAATAGGTTGGGCTGAGTTAATACCTAATATTGATTATTGATTGATAGTCAAAACAAATACAATTCAAGACAATATTGTGTTATTTCTAAGAAACTCCTTTATGCTCATTTCAGAATCACTTTTATTAGTGGGTAGGTCATTTTTGTAAAAATCAAAAGGAGAAGTGCAATTTTCAATGTAGTGCAATAACCAACGGAGTATATTATGATCCTATGAAGTGCGAACTTCAATGAGATTTAGAATCCAATAATCTATGCGAAATGAAACAAAGTGCGAATTTCAATGAAGTGTTGACGTGCTGATTTCGATGTAGTGCTGATTTCAATGAAGTGTGGCAGTCAATGAAGCGCAAAATCTAATTGAGAGATCACCCAATCACGACTATCAATAAGCTATCATTTTTGTGAACTATTTTACCTTGGGATCAATACTATTTTCGTTTTTAATGAATCAATCGATCCATCGCTAATTCGTTTTTTGTTCATCTAGTTCATCATTACTTGAGTTGGTGAATCACGAAATGAATATGGATATTCAATTGACTGCGAGATCCAATGAAGAAGTGCAATCTCCAATGAAACGCGAAATGCAAAGAAGTGTGGAAGCCAATGAAGCGCAATATTCAAAGAAATATACGATCCTATGGAATGCGAGTATTCCAATGAAGTGCTGATTTCAATGAAGTGTGGGTTTCAATGAAGCGCTGAAAGAGATACCATTCAATCGCGTCTATTACCTTGGGATCGATACCATTTTCGTTGATGATGGATCCATCGAATTCGGCGATGCCGATACACTTGGCACCGGCCCTATGGAGGTACCTCATGGTGTGAAGACCCACATTACCGAAACCTTGAATGATGAATGTCTTGTCTTTCCAGCCGGTCTTCAAGCCGCACATTTGCATGTAGCTTTCTTCGTTGATGAAGTTCTCAATACCTACAGGTCATAAGAGATGAACATTATTGCACCAGGTTCTTCTTCAATAGGCAAGAACTCTAAATGTGCGTGGTAACATAACATGAATCTATCATTGTTGTTCATTTTATGAAGATTCTGTGGAAATGACTGAGCTTTTTGTATTTATTTAACATTTCATTACACTTTGAGCATTAGTGGCTATTTTGTAGTTGAAATTACGCCAGTCGGGCAACCAGCCACTCCCGTATGGGAATTTTGGTTTCACAGTGTTTCTTTCCTTCTTTTCTACTCAGATGGCGTTGCTCTCATATTGTCTATGGATGACGCCTCTGAGGAAATATAATGCCAACTTGATTTTTGTTCGGCTAGGCTCCGCTTTGTCGGCGGTCTTAGGACTGCTGGCTGGAGACTGCTCTGCTCTGATGAGAGTCAAATACCTCGAAACCGGTATGTAGGTGTCTAGCGTGACCTGGCTAAATCGAAATCAATAGGCATTCAGGAAAGAATCACTTGTATCAGTATTCATAATTCAATGTTCTACGAGGCATTAGCCCGGAGAGTAGTTGTTTTTCTCCCGAAATCTACCATTGTTGTCCATTTTATGAACATTGTGTGGAAATGACTCAGAGCTTTTTGTATTTATATAACATGGATGCTTGAATTTTTTTATAAAATATGCTGTAGATATTCAAAAAACACCATTTGAATACCATAAAATTTCATGGAACGTTCCAACACACCAGTACTGACGTCATAACTCCTAGTATGGAATCTTAGTCATTTGAAATAACCCAATAAAATCCGGTATCGTTGAATAAAATATTGGGCGTTTCATTTGAAATTCGTGAGTTGATGTCATTTCCAGAAAAATCGGAAGACGAAAAAGAATTCCTAGAATGTAAGGAAGTGCCACTCTTCAGTAACTCTTTGCGTATTTTTATGTATGTAAATACAATAGTTCAGAAGATATTTTTTTCTACTTACCATGGAATACACCACGTCCAGTGGCAGACACTCTACCATGGATACCACCCTGGTTGATGGGTTTGCCCGTTACACAGGCATGGTTGTTGATGTCTTGGTAACCAATGGTTTTGGCATAGGTGTCTGCTAACCAAGACATTTCTCTCTCGCCAGTACCCATATCTGGGGCAGGCACATCAATGCTGGGCCCTGAAATCGTCCGTCAACAATCGAAATTTACCGAGTGAAAACAAAAAAACTTATTTTGCCATATTCTCTCTCAAAAAATATCTCAATGTTCAAGGTCTGATTAACGTCTACTATGCTCTAGCGGTCTCAACAATGAGTTATAATATAATTTCTTGGGGACAAGCCACAGAAATAAGCAGAGTCTTTACTCTACAAAAACGCATTATTCGTCTCATTTTCAACTTAAAGTATCAAGATTCCTGTAGAAATCACTTCAAAAAACATCGAATATTAACAGTGGTCAGCATTTACATATTGAAATTATTGTGTCACATCCATAAAAGCAAACACCATCTAAAGAAATGTTCAGAAATTCACAAATTCACCACTAGAAATCACAATCATATTTATATGGAAAAGTTTCATCATATGGAGTACAAAAAATCTCCGAAATATAGCGGGAGTCATCTCTACAACTTACTGCCTGAATCAATAAAAAATCAATCTCTGAAGAGATTCAAGAATGATCTTAAAAAAATTCTAACCTCAAATAGTTTCTATGATGTTTCTGAATTTCAAATGCATTTAACATTCATGAAATGATTACCACCTATCTATGCATTTTTCTAACTTAACGTTACATAACTAACTACATTATATTCTGCATCTGTCGCTAACCAGCCTAAAATGTATATATCTTTTGAATGTTATATGTTTTCTCGAATAACTTATGTATTGTGTTTCATAAACCGTAACTGACGAACCTACATGTACAGGGTGGCCAACTAAGACTCCAGAGTTCGATTTCTCTGTTGTCTTGAGAGATACAAAAAAAATTTATGAATCAAAATTGGAGTAACAACCGAGCTTCACATTTCAAAATTTCTTTGAAATACACAGGGTGTTCCGTAAGGTCACAGCACATCAAAGCTATGTTTTTTTCATTGGAACACCCTATATTTTATTTCATTTTTGAATTCTCCCTGAAGATCTGATTTCAACGACCTATCATACTTAGGGTCTAGCAGTGAAAGTTACTGACATATAGGGTGTGCAAAATCGAGATTTTACAAGTTCAGGATTTTTTCCTGTCGAAACTGTTCATTATTCGTCAAAACGGATTACATGTCCCTATCTCAACTTTCCACTCACTATCAATTGGTGTTTATTTGAAATTGATACAAGGTGGTCAAAAAATCTAAATTTATAATTTGTTTCAATCAACTGTCAATTGAACACCACTTGATAGTGAGTGGAAAGTTGAGATAGGGACATGTAAACCGTTTTGACGAATAATGAACAGTTTCGACAGGAAAAAATCCTGAACTTGTAAAATCTCGATTTTGCACACCCTATATGTCAGTAACTTTCACTGCTAGACCCTAAGTATGATAGGTCGTTGAAATCAGATCTTCAGGGAGAATTCAAAAATGAAATAAAATATAGGGTGTTCCAATGAAAAAAACATAGCTTTGATGTGCTGTGACCTCACAGAACACCCTGTGTATTTCAAAGAAATTTTGAAATGTGAAGCTTGGTTATCACTTTAATTTGAATGCAAAACTTTTTTTTGTATCTCTCAAGACAACAGAGGTATCGAACTCTGGATTCTTAGTTGGCCACCCTGTACATGGCAAAAGGGTAATAAATGTTCTATTCTATTCTATTCTAATGCCTACATTCTCTGTATCTTTTTTTATTAAAAATTTTGAATGTAAGTTTTTCATATGCATTTCAAATTCCTATTGATTTTTTTACCACAATACCGAGTGTAACTTTTCTGCATGATTTTTTGTTTTGGAAGTTTGACTTTTCCGTACGATTTCGAAGAAAATACCAGGAGACATGTGGTGGCTGTCAACAAATAAGCATTCTTCTATTCACTACACTAGTAATTCTCAGCAATAAACTGATCAAGGCATTTCTGTAGTGGGACAAACACTAACCAATCAAATTCAAATAAGAAACGACGTTCTTCGAGATATTGCGGCATCTGCTATATTGCAGCATGCAAAAAACACAAATTGTACTTTCAATTTCAATATTTACCATCGTCAATGTTTACCTCCATTAAGCTAGCAGAACCACTTTGAATTTTTCAATTTTTTCTTCGGCCATAATTTTAGGCTAATTCAAGGCTAATTTATTACCCTATTATCGAATTTATTGCTCTTTGATTTATGTAAAAAAACGTGGGTTCTGCTAGCTTAACGTTAAGCTAGCAGAACCACTTCGTAAATAAAAGTTCGATCACAAAACTAATTATGCCATAATTTAAGGCTAATTTTAGGCTCTTCATTGATCCTATTATCGATTCTTTTGAAAATCGTTTTCTGCAAAAAATTTCCCAAATCAAACATGAACATGACAAACCAATAGCAAACCAAAAAAACTTCCATCGCAAACCTAATTATGCCATAATTTCAGGCTAATTTAAGGCTCTGATCCTAGCCTATTGCCAACTTTTTCGCACACTGTTTTTCAAAAAAATCATGGGTTTTGCTAGCTTAACGGTTAAGCTAGCAAAACCTGTGATTTTTTTTAAAAAACAATGTGCGAAAAATCGTCAATAGACTATGATAAGAGCCTCAAATTAGCCTCAAATTATGGCATAATTAGTTTCGTGATTGAACTTTGTTTGGTTTCTTAACGTTAAGCTAGCAGAACCCACGTTTTTTTACATAAATCAAAGAGCAATAAATTCGGCAATAGGGTAATAAATTAGCCTTAAATTAGCCTAAAATTATGGCCGAGGAAAAAATTTCAAAATTCAAAGTGGTTCTACTAGCTTAATGGAGGTTCAATGTTTTAGTTATTGTTATTTGAATGTTCTTCAAATAAGTTTCCTATTATATCGATGAAAAAAAAATCTATTTCATTATTTTCCATTGCATGAAAATATCGTGCGAAAAAGTGACTTTAGCGTACTAGTGCTGAAAAGTTAATTTTCCGCACGAGTTTTATATTGTTGAAAATAAGAATATTCAGGACTAACTAAATGATCCATGTAACTATTCTATCTTACGTCCCATTTTGTATTTTTTTTTTCATAAATAATATGGACAAAAACACTCGTAGGAAAAACTTTGTACCTAACTCTTGCGGAAAATATCTTTTCCGCCCTTGACGACTTGCCTGATTTTCGCCCCGCGTCGTTCGTACTACTTTCCGCACTTGTTAGGTAAATAACTATTTTTATTGTTATTTCAGACTGTCATATACTGGTAAGACGTTTACACACCAGTAAGCATCACAAGTCTAGTGAATCGTAAAGGTCTGCTGGTAAAACGGTTTACCATTGTTTTTTCTAATTATATATGAACATTGAAAAAAATAAAAATGAATGTATAATCAATATTCCATAAATTGGTTTCAACTTGATGAAACATTTTGGATGTCAAAAGAGATATGATGAACAGAAATCGATAAAAATCAATCTATTATGAGGGTTAGAATAATTTCATGAAACGAGTTTTGATGAGCAATAAGTGTACACATGGTGTTCGTAAAATACGTGAAATAATGGGTAAGTTTCCTTCATATGAATTTTCATGAAATAAGTTCGGAACTCTCCAGTTTCATGTCCACGCTGTACAGAATGGCGACCGATGAAGTACAAGTCGTTTTCATTTTCAAATTGAAGCAATTTCTAATTTTCGGTGCGGCAAACTGTGACATACATTATTCTGAATCTAGTCTGAAAATAGCTGATGGTGAAGAATATAGCTAGCGAATAGCTAACGAATAGCTAACGAAAAAAAAAACGAATGAAAAAAATAGAAGAAGAAGTAAAACTGGCAAACAAAAACATACATAACCACAAAAGCACTCGGAGCAGGAATGCAGAAGGTAGTTGGCTTCATTCTGACAGATTATGGTTTTGTTATTTATGCATTGAAATATCTGGAATAGAGCTCGATCCTAAAAGAAAATACTATCGAATCAAAGAATCACCACCGACTACATTCAATGATGCTATCCTTCCTAATTTACTGTCATCGGTCAGAACAGAATGAAGCCGACACCCATGGCTCCTTCCTCTCATTGTGCCTGTCAGAAAATAGATCCGTTTTATTGAGGAACGAATTCATTAGCAAAAAAATGATTGACAAGTTATGAATAACATATTGTAATATAACGATAGTGAAAAATTATAGATACTATCGCAAAATATCACAATTTATCTTTATTAGTAATCAACTTCATTCAGCCAATGAGAGATATGTGGGAATCATTCATAATTCTTGACAAAGTATGATTGAAGAACTTATTATATCCCATTGCTGTTATGATATAGTTATTATGCAATCAAAGAACCATTTCCGGAAATCTAGTCATATTGATGATGTCGGCAACGTCGTACTGGCACAGGGAACCGTATTTAAACTCTGTGTGAATGTGGATTTTCAGGAAATACGTCATAGGAATGGCGGAGGAACCAAGTTCCTCTTTTATCAATTTTTTTCTGACGTGAAATTTGATCTTACGAAAAAAAGAAAAAATACGTTTATATTAATTTTTCACAAACTTCACAGTGAGGTAAGAACCCAATATAGGAAATTTCCCCATTCAATCACGTCGTGGCAACACTGTATCGACTTACCGATGAATCCTTTCTTGACCAATTCGAGGGTAAACCGCCTCGTGATCTTCTCCAATTCGTGTTCGGAATACTTTTTCGGTTCTATTTTGACGCCGGCTTTACCGCCTCCGAACGGCACATCCACGCATGCGCATTTGAAGGTCATCAGAGCGGCCAAGGCTTTCACCTCGTCTCTGGATACGTCCATGGAAAAACGCATACCTGAAATTCATAGAGACATATGGAAGCAATCATTATTAATTCCTCGATTAACGCGTGCTCGTTATTGTTATTTCACAAACACTTGAATCCTATGTCACCCTGTACAATAACTCAATTAGTCTTCTATTGCACCTCTCAGAAGCTTTGGTCAGGAAAATAGCAAGTCTTTCTTCCACTTGTTTCTCAGTGAACTCTTGTCAGTGTAATTTTCTTGCATACTTCTAAAAGAGGGGGTATAGGAATCAAGTGTTTGTGAAATAATAATAACGAACACGCGTTGCAAGTGGCAACTGAGAAAGTGAAATGCATCGAATCGAAGAATGGATTGTAATAAACCAAAAACACTTGGTTCCTATGCCCCACCCTGTATAAGGTGAGGTGATTATATTCCCTCTCCCACTATTTTTTACACTTGAATCTTTTTTGGAAAAAGTTCCTTAATCCAAGCGATAAAAGAAATAATAAAAATAATAATTATTTATTCACAACTATACATATGCATAATACATTTCATGAATCACATAATCAATATTAGTTGCAAAAAGGGGTTGAAAACAATCAAAATTGATACTAGGTCAACCCCTGGAATTTAAATAAATTAAATAATGAAAATATTTCCGCGATGTTATCAAATTGACTGTTGAAGATTGAAAATCAGTTAATACCATATGTATAGTTCAGGATTTCATGACGAAATTCTTGTATGATTTTTTAAAAGTATCCGGTTTCAAATATTTCATTTTATATGGTAGCTTATTAAATAATTTAAATACATTATAAGTGATTATTCCAGATTATTCGGGATTTTTTCTCTTCATCTCTATGAAATGAAAAGTATCAATATTATTTCAATATACGTGTAGTAAGGACAACGTTTAAAGATTTTTCTTATCAGAGAGCCCAAAAGAAAAATTCACTAGATTGTCAGTGACAATTTGTATTTAAAAAGGATTGGAGAAGAGAAATAAAGGTATATAGAAAAAATATCGACTTTTTACTTACCTTCAGACGTTTCGGGAAGATAATATTGATATTTTTTATTTTATAGAGACGAGGAGAAAAAGTCCCAAATAATCTGGAACAATTGATGTGAATGATCTTTGGGGGGGGGGGGGGGGAAGGGGGGGGATTATAACTCATGAATCTTAAATTCAACGTATGTACATCAGTTCTGTATTTAATTTCATTACATAAATAAGGAGGGCATTTGGTGAATATTAAATTATGGAATAAAGTCACTGCATGGATTTGCCGTCTTTTTTCCATGCTCAACAACTGGGTTTCTTTCAATTCGAAGGAGATACTTTCATATTTGCGAATGCCATAGATGAATCGTTAGCACGATTTTTGAACTTTCTGAATTCTTTCACTATCTTTCATATCAATATCTAAGAATCTGTCCTATAACAGGCCACCCTTGTAACTTCGGAAATCGTAAACGGATTTTTCTGAAATTTGGTAGTCATAAAAACAACCATATCGGATTTGATCACCTCACACTCCAATATGGCAGACTTCCGGTTTTTCTGGAAACGCCAGAAACTTTATTTTTTCAAATGGAACACCCTGAATATCTTTACATACAGGTCAAAAGTGAATAGAGCGTCCTGATTCCGAATCCGAAGTGATTTGCAACCTATTTTACTTCCTAATATTATTTTCCGGAAATTGGTGTTGTTTCATGGCTGTTGGCGAGCAGTGTATATCACTGAAGATGACCATACTTGGTCATAGAGTACATTCTTGGTATATCTCTCGCTTCAGCAAATTTCAGGATCCTAACCCAAAGATTACGTAAGATACAGGGTTATCTCCATGAAAAGTGGGACAAACATCAAATTTTCAGAACTGAAAATTTTCCAGGGAAAATGTGAATTGTTAGTGAATTGGGCGTCCTGATTCCGAATCCGAAGTGATGTTCAACCTATTTCGACTCCTAATATCATTTTCCGGAAATCGGGTTGGTTCTATGCGAGGTTCCATTGCTGTTGGCGAGCTGTGTATATCACTGAAGATGACCCCACTACTTGGTCATAGAGTGCATTTTTGGTATATCTCTCGCAAATTTCAAGATCCCTACCCAACGAATTCCTTTATAAGTGAGACACACTGTAGTACCCAATAGCTAATAGTGCACTTATTTTGTACACCATGGTGATTTTGACATACACACGAATATTATACTGATGTAAGAAATCCGATAAAATCTCGCGTAAAAACATTTCAAATGTTATTATTTTTACGAATTCGTGAATTGGTTGAAAAATAGCCACAGGTTGGAGAACACTTATGAATAGTGATCACCCTGTACCTACTGAAAAGGAATACATTCGATTCGGTTATTTCGAATAATTATAGTGTGGAAACCTCAAAACAACCAAACCCGTTCAAAATATTGATGATGAATTCATAATTATATACATCATAAAAACCATCGTAAAAACCTGTCTAGTAGACTCGCAAGTATATGCTGGTATTATAGGTATAGGTATATCATTCTCTATGTACAGGGTGTTCCGAAACTATTGTGCCAAAATTCAAGGGTTGGTAGATCTCGCCAAAACAAACGTTTTTCACTTATTAACCCATAGGCGCATGCGCATGCGTTCAGTGATAATAGCGCATTAAGGTCCGCGCAGTGGTATCCAACCTCGGACACGGGGAAACGTGTTTGTACCGGAAACCGTGTTAGTAAATGACATGAAATCACAAGCAATATATGGGAGAGTTTATAAAAAAAAAACACTACAATTTAGATTGAGTTAGGTTTTACACATTGCCACGACGCAATAATAAATGAGAAGTCTACGCAATACGAGTGTCGGGAGCGCAGCGATTGGTCTCGATCGTCAAAATCGATAGAGCTGAGCACTCAATATCGATATTATTTATTTATGTATGTACATACGTCAAAATCGGTAGAGCTGGGCACTCAATATCGATATTATTTGAGTATGCACATATGTTAAACTTTTTTCTTGTGACACCTATTGGTACCGAAATAAGGTGCATGCGCCTATGGGTTGATAAGTAAAAAACGTTTGTTTTGGCGAGATCTACCCACCCTTACATTTTGGCACAATAGTTTCGGAACACCCTGTATATTGGGTTGATTCTGAAACTGAAGCGATAAATAAAATCGGGTGTTTCATGAGGCACAAGAAAATCGCATTATTTATTTTTTGTTCCACGTACCAAATAGCCAGGAAAGTAGTTGTTTTCTGTTGAAAATTCAGAATGATATTATGATGTGCATACTTATATGTTTTAATCTGAAGGAGAATGCAAATTCACAACTTCAGAAGATTTTCAAATGTTTATTATATGTCTGGAAATATTCCTTTTCAATATTTATTTTTTATTTTTAAAAATAATAATGCTATCAAGAGCCTATTATTAGAAGTCCGGCAACATTGCAAAGGTCATCGATACTTCCCGTGCTTTGAACTCACCAAAAGCAAACGCTTTGGTTCTGCCTTTAAGATCGAGATTAGGATTTACTCAATAATTCACAAAAATTCGATGCACACTTCAAGATTCAATATGTTTCAAAATTTATTTTTACGAAAATTCTGTCTTCTATTATCCCCTTATCATCTAACGCTCCAATTTCGGAAACACCCTGTATATCTATACGATCTCCTAGGAATATATCCTCTGTTCCACTCAGTAGGTATTTATATACAGGATGGGCACCTTAGCAGAGACGGAGGATGGAGTTATCTTTATATGAAAAACTTGATCTGAAAATGTTAATTGATTCAATATCGTGTAGAGAGAAGATTTTCGTAATTTGTAATCTCCTGATTGGGATCTTGATGATTTGAGGCAGATACCGAGGCATTCACCTGACTAATGCCCTTTAGAAAATTTCGAAATTCCCATTTAAGATGGAAGCACCCTTATAAAACTTACATTTTTCAACCGATTGGAATGATTTTTTTTTTGTTAGGTAGATATTCAAAAAGTCTATTAGGACACCAAATATCATGAATAAATCTCCATTTCCAGGGCCAACTAATCTGATTTTTCAAGGTCAAAAATCTAAAAAAATTACTAGCGATTTTTTTAGAAAAAATCTGACTACACCACTGGATTTGTGACATTTTCAAATGGGTAACATGTAAATTACGTTGAAATGCGTCAATCAATAAAAAAGTTATAAAGGAATGAAATTTGAAAAATATGCCGTTTAATCAACCCACCAATTCATGTTCAGGAATTTTATGAAAATTCTGTATACTCCACTGGATTCAGGATGTCTTGAAATATTACTGATCACAGTTTCATCAAAATCTGTTCAGTAATAAAAATTGATGGGTCGATTAAACGGCATATTTTTCAAATTTCATTCCTTTATAACTTTTTTATTGATTGACGCATTTCAACGTTATTTACATGTTACCCATTTGAAAATGTCACAAATCCAGTGGTGTAGTCAGATTTTTTCTAAAACAATCGCTAGTAATTTTTTTAGATTTTTGACCTTGAAAAATCAGATTAGTTGGCCCTGGAAATGGAGATTTATTCATGATATTTGGTGTCCTAATAGACTTTTTGAATATCTACCTAACAAAAAAAAATCATTCCAATCGGTTGAAAAATGTAAGTTTTATAAGGGTGCTTCCATCTTAAATGGGTCACACTGTATGTCCGAACTCCGGAGATATCCGAAAAAAAACCGAAATTTTGGAAAATTGATTTTATTTTTTTCTGGCTCCATTTATTGTAGGATTTCAAAATCAATTGCACTTCTGCACTTTCATTTTTTCTCTACTACATGATGGTAGTATCAGAAAAAATCCAATATGGCGCCCATTGGAATAAATAAAGGTGATGATAATGGCCGGAAGACGAATCGTCTGTTAGTAAATCTGAAAGCACCATATTGTAGTAAAGGAAAAATGACAATGCAAAAGTGCGATTCATTTTGAAATCCTACAATAAATAAAGCCAGAAAAAAGTAAAATCGATTTTCAAAAAACGGCATATTGGTAGTT